AATTTAATTTGTTCTATACCACAATTATTAATAATTAATTCTTGAAGAAATGGAAGTAAACCTAATCGATTAATAAATGGATCCCATTCTATTAATCTTTGATTATCTGATAATGATAAATTAGTTACATTTTTTATTTTATTAATAAAATTTTCTAATATAAAAGTTAAATGATTTAAATCTAAATGAATATCAATTAAATTTGGAAAATATTTTAAAATATATTTAAATAAAAGATAATCATTATCTATATCAATAAGAACAATTTGTTTTATATTAATAAATTCATTTGATGGATTGATATCAAAATTGATTCGAGAATTACTAACTTTTAAGATTTCTAATTTGGGAAAATATTTTTCTAAAATAATCCATAATTGAGACCAATTTTTAATTAAATTTTGTCGAATATTAAGTTCGTTTATTTGAGAAAGATTTATATATATATATATATAATGATTAACATCAAATTCATTTATTGATTGAGATGATAAATCAATAACATGATCATTATATTGTTTACTTAAATTTTAAACAAAATAATTTTATCATATTAATTGTTTGATTAATTGAAAATTTTAATTGTTAATAAAAAGAAAATAAAATAGACAGATTACTAATAAAAAAAAATCAATTGATTGTTCAAATTGCAATTGAATGTGTCAGTTAGGTATAAATCAATTTTCAGAGCTTATCTTTTATCTTATAACTTCAACTTAAATATTCATAGAGCGATAGTAATAAACAATAAGAATTCATCCTTAAAAGTTAAAATCGTTTGATTCTCTTTTATATTGAAAACCAAACATCAAATAAGCTGATTTATATTAATTGTACGTATAAAAGAAATTCTCTTTAGCCCAATATTAATATAAAAATAACGAATGTAGTTTCGAATATATAATAAAAGAAACATTTTTTGCTAATCCATGTTTATCTGAAAAATTTAAGAGGCTATATGTCATCTTGATGCAGACGGCTGTAACTTGGACGAGAAAATCTCCATAAACTGACCAATGAACGATATTTTCTTAGGTATTTCATGATGCATAAGCGGTTCGTCGCCTGTACATCTTCATAATGCATAGGTGGCATCGCCACTAGAAACCTGTGGATCCACATTTTTGTGGACTCGAGCATGGAAAAGATTAGAAACTTGGATCCGGGCCCGATTGGATCCATTCCCAAAGTTTTTTCCATCGATATTTGGCACTCTCCGTGCGCATAAACAAGTGAAATACTAAGATTCTAATTAATTAGTCGCTGCTGTCACAGAAAAATTCAAGGTTCAGTTATATCGTATTGTTGTATTTCTCATCTAGGGAACTGGCGGGTCCATAAAGACATGTAACCGGGTTCGACAACAAAATAACATATTAGACTCGAACCCAATCCGGTTCGAGGCCAGATCTGGAGGTAGTCGCAGCTCTCTAACCTTCGTGCCTTTTTACATCTGATGGTACGAGCGCGTTTTATGTATATAATCGCATGGATGAATGGTCAATCGAATACAAAGGAATTTTATACATCCATTGCATCTTTGTTTGTTGTTTATAAATAGAATAACCCTCTTTGTTATTGTGCTATGAGGGTAAAAAATGGGTCTGACGAAAGTAAATTATTATATTAATATAACTTTTACTTCAGATAAAGATCCAACTTTTGTCACGCGATACGTTCAGATCATTGATCATATTGATTGAAGAAAGAAATATGAGCAGACAGAGAGCTCTTAAACCAAGAAAAGAGGTATCGTAGAAAAGAAACAAGTTCGGATTATATTTCTATCCGACCATTATTGTTAGTAGGCGTCGATCGTTCTAACACATATAGAAAACAATGGGAGCACGAGCATATGTTGTTTTTTTTTTGTAATGGGAAATTTTTTTCGAATGAAAAAATTGTTTTAAAATTAAAAAAATGTTAAACATTTTATTTTTAAAATTTAATTTAAAAAAAAAAAGAAGAAAAGGAAAGATTGACTTAGTTATTGTTAAATAGTTTCAATTCTGATAATGGAAGGTCGATCGATATTGTCATTAAGAAAAGAATTTCCTAAATAGAATTGAAGATCTTGATAATCATTTGACATAAGTTCTTTATGTTTTTTATCAATAACAACAAATAAATTAAATTGAATATCATTTGTTAATTGTGATGGAAATAATTTTCGAACAAATGTTTTTAATTTTGCTATTGTCATTGATGATGGAATTTTTTTTTCAATTTTTATTTCATTTTCATCACCAAATTCAAATATAACTTTTAATAAATCTCGACGAATACAAAGACCTTTTTTTGATTCCTAAAATAAGAAAATATTCAATTTTATCATTTGTATTTTCCAATCATATTTAAATAAAACTATCAAAGTAATATATTCAACTGTCAAATTGATTTTCGACTGATAAGATCTTTATTTGATGAGATTTAATAAGTTATAGAAAAGTCTAGAATGATTTTCATTTACAAATATTAGCTTTTCAGATATTGAAATCTGATCGGGTTTTTCAACAAAAACCTCTACTCCGTTTGACTTCAACCGGAAAATTGACTTTGTTGAAAAGCCTAGTCAACTTTCAATATATCGAAAATGAACACTCTTACTCACCAAATCAATGTCGTCTCGATCGAAAAGCGATTTGACGGCTAGAGACGTTTTATAATTAAATTTTATCTATAATTTTTGCTTTTTTTTTGCCTTTCGTGTAAACGTTTGTTTGATGAATTTATATAAATTATGTTATATTAAATAATTATAAAACAGATGTACCTTTTTTGATACTTTAGGCGCCAAAGGGTTAAAGAGTCTCAATATAAAACTTATTACGTTTTTTATTATTATTTAATTTAATTTAATTTAATTTAGATAAGACAATCAACTTATTTATAAATAGAAAATAATTGATTGATTCAATGAAAAAAAAAACTATTTTTATTTAGATAAATCTATAAATATATTTATTTCTATTGAAATAAAATGTTTAACCTGATTTTTATTTGGTTTTAAAGGTTCACCATATTTATTAATTAATCTTTGATATTGTCTATGTTCATTAATAAAATCTAATTTATTATCAAAATAATCTTGAGCATAACGTTGTAAATAATCAATTTCAGCTCCACGTCTTTCATCATGACTAATTAAAACTCGATTTAAATATGTTAAATTAGGTAAACGAGCTATAATCATTTGTTTAGCTGTTTCATTTTCAAATTGATTTAATCCATATATTGGATTTCGAAGTATACTGAATGATATTAATGATGATATACGACTTAATTCATTTATTGATGAATATGAACTTATTTTATTATCAGACATATAAAGATACTTTAATGATTGAAATAATTCA